AATGTAGCCCACTCTTTTATCCATGACATTGCTGCTGCTGAGTAATATAATTTCCAATTTGGGAGTCCTAAGCCCCCATTCTCCTTGCTATCTTGCAGGACCTTCCACTTGATACGTGCCTTTTTATTAGCCCATATAAATTTTCTACACATTTTATCTAATTCATTAAAGATTTTAACATTTCGTAATACTGGGATATTCTGGGCTAAAAAAAGAAATCTCAGTAGAATGTTCATCTTTAATAGAGCTATTTTGCCCATAAAAGATAATTTCAAATTTTCCCATTTTGCTAAGTCTTTTTTTATTTCTTGTAACAATTTATCATAGTTATCTTCTATTAACGTGTTGTTTCTTTTTGTCAGTGTCACTCCCAAGAATTTTACCTTTTTTACAATCTTCATATTTGAGATCATTTGAATCTGTTCTATTTGATTTGCTGTGCAATTTTTTGTTAATATATTTGTTTTGTTGTAATTTATTTTTAGACCTGCTACTTCTCCATATCCTTCGATAGAGTCCATCAATAGTGGGATAGATTCAGTAGGATTTTCGACTATGAATACAAGATCATCAGCAAACACTTGTAATTTGAAGACTTCTTTAACTTTTAAACCTTTTATAATTCCGTTTTCTCTAATCAAATCCGTTAATGTTTCTAATGTAAAGATGAACAATAAAGGTGATAATGGGCAGCCCTGTCTCGTACCTTTTTGTATACAAATAGCTTGTGTTGTGTCCCCATTTACCACCACTTTTGCAAATTGTTTCGAGTATATTGCTCTTATCATAGCGTAGAAAGTTTCTCCACAGTCCCATCTAGGTAGCTTCTGTAGCATAAAATCCCAATTTACCATATCGAATGCTTTTTCAGCATCCAGGTAACTTAATGCTATCTGTTTCCCAGGCTGAAGTTCATAGTATTCTAATGCATTCAAGATCACCCTTATATTACTTTTAATTTGTCTTCTTGGAAGGAATCCTGCCTGATCTTGATGGATTGTCTCTACTAAAACCTTTTTCAGTCTTGTAGCAATTATCGATGCAAATATTTTGTAATCAGCATTAAGCAGAGATATAGGTCTATAGTTTCTTAGGTAAAAATCCCGACTGGTCCTTATTTATTGTTTCCACTAATACTTTTTTCATTCTCTGCGCCAAAATTGATACAAAAATTTTGTAGTCCACGTTTAACAGTGATATCAGTCTATAATTTTTCATTTCCTTCTCATCTAAGTTTTGTTTATGAATCAAAGAAATATTTGCTTCTTTCCACGTATCTGGGATTTCGTCTTGTTCTCTCACCATATTACAAATATCCTTAAAGGTCAGAGCAATCTGCTCTTCAAAAATATGGTAAAATTCTATCGGGTGTCCATCTGGTCCAGGAGCTTTCCCTCTGTTTTGTCTCTTTATTGCCTCGACCACTTCCATCATTGAAATTTGTTGGTTTAATATTTTTCTTTGTCCTTCTGTAAGTTTTTGCAATTTATATTTTTCCAAATAACTTTGGATTTTATCCATGCTCACTGTCGTTTTCCCGTATAGCGTTTTATAATATTCCTCCATCACTTTCTTGATTTCTTCATTTCTATAGATTTCCTTCCCATCTTTTCTCAAGACTTTAATAAAAGTTCTTTCCTTCTGTTGACTAATTTTATAGGCTAGCCATCTAGTGGGTTTATTAGCATTTTCAAAAAAGTTTATTTTGCAAAGTATAATTTCTTTGCTATTTTCTTTGAAAAAAGTTGTTAACTCTTCATTTTATTTACCAAGTTATTATTTCTTAAGATTCTTAAGTTCATGGTCCATCTGCTTCTCTTCCAAGTTGTTTGCAACTCCAAATAAACTGGTTTATGATCTGCATATGTTCCTGCCTGTATTTCTGCCTCTAGCAGATCCTTAACCATTACTGTTGAAATCCATATCATGTCTATTCGGGACCATGAATCATGTCTAGCTAAATAATATGTAAATTGTTTCATAGAGTAAGTCCTTATTCTCCAAGCATCTACCAAATTTAGTTCAGTCAGTAATTGTTCTAAGTTTTTTGGCATTTCTGTCCTTCTTTTCTTCTTCTTCCCACCTGTCTGTTTATCCTTTTCCTCATCAAAAATTGTATTAAAATCTCCCAATAAACAAATATTTTGACAGTCCTGTCCCACAATAAGTTCATAGAGTTCCTTATAAAATTTCTCTTGGTCTTGATTTGGTGCATAGATATTAACTACCAAAATTCTTTTTCTCTTGATTTTGTATTTCCACCATCAAAATTCTCCCATCATCTGAAGCATAAACTTTTTCAGGGAATAGGTTTTCTTTAACTA